TGGACAGTTGTTACACTCACGCTACTGATTATAATTGCACTGGTCAAGTCCCAAACTTTTAAGATTGTAACTCCTACTCCTTGGTCATTCCCACAAAGACTTGATAGCAAGAAAAACTAACATACAAGTGAGTAATGGCTGGTATTAACATACCAAAGAATACATTATTTGGCCCAATGGAGCCTTGCCCTATCAAATTATTGAATTCATATTCCAACATGGAGATTACATGTGGGAAGAGCATAAAGGGATGACTAATTTACTTCTCTTCAGGTAAATTCAGAGGGACAGAGATCCAGAATGGGTACAAGCCACTTCCTTTTATGACCTCTGCTTTTATAACTTTAAAAAAATCTTTAAAAAGATGCCATGTTAATATTTACTGATCACACTTATCAATCAAGCCCACTGGAAACTTTCAAATAGCCAGGGAATGCCTACCCCTCATTCATACTTTCAAAAATTTTCAGAGGCATTCACACTCTTAAATTTGGTTCTGAAAATTTGGAAGACAAATAACACTACCTTTGCATATAGTTCAAAGCTTCTTGGAAAAATGAAAAACGTCCAGGATGGCCACAGGAAGATTTATTGGGAAAAGAAGTTATTCCAAAGTGTAAATTTAATGGCTGGCCTTGATAAAACCAAAAAATATAACTGCTGCCCCTCCAGCAATTCCAGCCCATGTGAAGTCCCCACCCCCAACAAGTGTACATTTATGTTATAGCTTTCATGTTAGGTACTTTGTTTCACACATTTAGTAAATATTTATTAAAAACATATTTATTATTATTTATTTATTACTTTTTTAAAAGATGACCGGTAAGGGGATCTTAACCCTTGACTTGGTGTTGTCAGCACCACGCTCAGCCAGTGAGCTAACATAACAGGCCATCCCTATATGGGATCCAAACCCGTGGCCTTGGTGTTATCAGCACCACACTCTCCTGAGTGAGCTACGGGCCGGCCCCTAAAAACATATTTTTATATGTCTGTTCCCCTGCATTATTTTTGTGAAACAATTTTGGTAAGTTTTTAAAATATGAAATGGGTTTCTAGAAATAGGGGTCAGTTTATTACTTTGCTTTTATGAGAAATTCAATAATTATCCAGCTGCTAATTAAGGCAGAATCGCAGGGATGCCAGTACTTGGATTCCCCTCTACTCTACCCCAATTCTGAAGCATCCTAAGAGACGCCACAGACATTGACAGGGAGGACCAGAATCAGCACCCTTTTCCCCCTCAATATTCAGTACACCACTGTAGCACCCAAGTTCATGTCTACCTGAAAACTGAGCCAGGAAAGGAGCAGCACCATCTAATCTCTTAAAATAAAGGCATGAGCACCAAGAAACACCAGATGAGAAGTAACAGATGGAGCAGTGCTGGAGGACATTCTTCAGAAATGTTTAACAGTAGACCCATCAGTGGTAGATTAGCTTTATGTAACAGTTACAAAATTTCACACTCTATCCTGAGGAAAGCACTCTAAGAATGGGAAAGAAACCTGTTTGGACATCTGTGATCTAGCCCAGAAAACTAAGCAAGACACCAGGAGTTACATAGCACCTGGCAGCATTACACAGGGAGTGTCATATATAACACTCATGTGGGTACCTTCCAAGCACTTGTTGAATCCAAATTCACATATGCTACTATCTCACATGACTGCCTCTACAAAATATGTACATAGTCACAGTTACTGAAGAAAAAGTTTCTCTAGATGCTACTGGGCAGTTGGCTGGGCTAACTTACTAGCTAAGCAATTTCTTCTAGTACACTGGTTAAGCATTGCACACAATTCAAATGCACAACTCAGCAAGACTACAAATGAGGAGAGGGCTGGCTGCGTGGACCCCTTCCTTGTTGCTGCACTCGCTCTCCTTGGTGTTTCATCCAGTCGCACAGCTTTAATTACTATCTATACACCCACAACTGCCCAATTTGTATCTCCAGCCTGGACTTCCCATCTGAAACCCATACTTATAAGACCCAACTACCCACTTGACATTGCCACCAGGATGTCCAACAGGCATCTCAAGCTTAACATGTCCAAAACCGAATTTCCCATCTTTCCCCGCAAAGCAGCTCATCTCAGTTAATGGCAAAACTCCATTGTTCTGTTTATTTGAACCAAAGAACCAGTAGTCATCCTTGACTCCTCTTTCACATTCTCCATACCAACCATAAGCAAATCCTTTTAGCTGTCTAGAACACCTAAATGCCTAAAACACACCCAGAGTTCAGCCTCTTCTCACTACTTCTCATGCTACCGGCCCAGTCCCTCATTTCTTTCCTAAAGTACTGCAGTAACCTAATTGCTCCAACCCCTACCCTAGACCCCCTCAGTCTATTTGCAGCACAGTGATCCTGTCAAACTCATAACACAATACAGTGATCCTGTCAAGATCCAAGTCAGCTCACACCCTTCAGGCTTCACATCTCACAGAGGAAAAGCCAAAGTCATCACAATGGCCAACAAGGGCCCCACCACATCTCAGTCACTGGTACCTCTGACCTCATCTCATACTTCTCTCCCTCTCATTCATTCTACCCCAGCTGCAGTGCTCCTTGACCACGTGGGGCACACTCCCACCTCCAGTCTTTGCACTTGCTGCTCCCTCTGCTGACCTCTGCCTCCATATCCCACAGGGGTTGCTCCCTCTCTCTTTCAGGTCTGTGCTCAGAAGTTACCTTCAGCTGAGGCATCCCTGCCCTCCCTCAACCGAGAACTCCCTTCTTTATTTATTTATTTATTATTTTTTGTGTGTGTGACCGGTAAGGGGATCGTAACCCTTGGCCTGGTGTCCCAAGGGTTGCGATCCTGTTGCCGGTCCCGGTCCGGTACGGGCGCGACACTGAGGGTTGCAATCCGTTGCCGGACACGAAAAAAGACAAAAAAGGAAAAAAAAAAAAAACCAAAACCAAAACAAACAAACAAAAACAATAATTGCAATATTTAAGTTAAATTCTTAATAAAAAATATGGTAGTATGATTTCATGTTCACCTTTATATAGATACAGATGGATACAGAATTAGATAAGAATGTGTACATGGGTTAGTACACATACATTTATTTCCTAGCATTTGCTGTGAGGACCTAGAAGTAATAGCATACCAGTAGCAGTGAGCACACCCAGTGTCCAGATTTTGGTTCCTAAATATCATTCTCCAATGACAGGAACCGTAAAATGGAAAAATGGCTGATTTTTGGCTGAGGAATATATAAGACGAGACTGGAGCATGGTGTAATGCCAGAAAGTGTTTAAAAAATAAAATGGGGATGTGTCAAAGGGACACAGAAATCAACCTAAAAAATTCCCAATGGCCAGAGCTGAAACAATTTGAACAAAATAATTAACACAGTACTAGATCATAACCCAAAGCATACCATAAATATCCATGGGTCTACACAGATATAAAAAAGGTAACTGAACAAACGAAGAGAGGAAAAGAGACAAAACTCCTGTATAGAACAATTCTAGATAAGTTATGTAGATACTCCCCCCTCAAGCAGGTGGAGCTTAACTCACCATCTCTTTTGAGTGCAGGCTGCACTTAGTGACTTGCTTTAAAGGAACAGAATATGGAAAGAGGTGGGGGAAAGTAACCACAATGGAAAACCCGGCAAACACTACTTCAGCTGGGTAATTAAGGTTAACATCACCAGTGATGTATGTTTATAGCATGTACCCCTGATATGATGTAAAGGGCACTTCACCCTGTACTTTCCTTCCCAAAACCTATAAACCCATTCTAATAAAAAGAAAATCATCAGACAAACCCAAATTGAGGAACATTTACAAAATACCTGAACTGTACCCCTTAAAACTGTCAAGGTTATCAAAAACAAGAAAAGACTGAGAAACTGTCACTGACTAGAAGACACTAAATAGACATGAAGACTAATGTACTGTGGTATCCTTTTTTAGTGTGGAATAAAAAAAGGGCACTAGGGGAAAACTAGTGAAATTCAAACAAACTATGGAGTTTAATTGTAATGCACCTATGTTGGTTCTTTAGTGTGACAAATGCACGTAGTAATGTAAGATGTTAACAGTGAGGGAAACTGGGTGAAAGGTATATGAGAATTCATTGTACTATCTTCGTGCTTTTTTATACAATCGATCCAAACCCTTGACCTTGGTGTTATAACACAGCATTCTAACTAAATCTGTAACTATTCTAAAATAAAAAATTTATTCAAATTAAAAAATATGGGACACTCAGGGAAAAATGCAGCTTTGGTAAATGCTGTTCCATTGTGCAGGGGTGGTAAAGAGAATATATCTGTCCAAGTTAGGAGGTAAAAATAAACAACCACCACCAACAACAAAAAAGAGAAATATAGCTGTCAACTCCAACAGTATTTATGTTGAGACAAATCATTTTTAGAGTTGACGGACCTTAAAAAATGCTGTGAAGCCCATTTTTTAAGTTTTTTTTTTTTTCTTTTTAAAGATGACCAGTAAGGGGATCTTAACCCTTGACTTGGTGTTGTCAGCACCATGCTCTCCCAAGTGAGTGAACTGGCCATCCCTATATAGGGATCCGGCCTTGATGTTATCAGCATCCCACTCTCCAAAATGAGCCACGGGCTGGCCCCTGATTTATTTTTAAAGCTGCCTGCCTTATCTCCAGGAGCAACAAGAGTTGATTTCTGATTCTCTTCCAACAATTGCCAGAATATTGGCCTAATAAAGTTTCTAACAGATCTATTTTATACGTAACACAAAGCCTATTTTTAAATTTTAATACGTACTTTTAGCTTTTCACTAGTATGCAACGTTATGACAGTATCTCTTCTTCCTTGAGAAGACACAGGCCATTTTCCAGTTCAGCAATTTTATCTCTACAGGTTCAAAGGCTACCTGCAGAGGTTTAAAATACAAATATGCTCATATTGCTCAGCTGTTTAAAACCCTTTCATAACATCTTTGCATGGCAAACAAAGTCAAAATCTGGCCTTTGCCTCCCCATTCAGTCTCATTATTCCCCTTCTCATTCTCTATGCCCCATTGATGCCTAATATTTGTGGCAGGCTTCTATTTGTCTTTCAAGTCTCAGCTTAGTAATTAATCCATGAAAAGATGCTCAACCTTGGTTATAAGAAAAGAAATGAAAACTAAAGCTACAATGAAATGCTCCCCCCAATCAGACTTCTCTGATGAAAGCCAGTAATTTCACATTCGGCCATGCTGAGTTTGTCTAAAGGTTCATTTAGGGATGCTCTCCAGGTCTTGGCTTAATATAGTGTTCGTAAAATCAAAAAGTATGTGGAAAGAAAACAGAGGCTTCATTACTAACTCACACTGTCTTCAACCACAGTGAAATACTTTTTTAAAGCCATATAGAATGCATAGCTCAAGAAGCCCTTCAAGCAAAAGTTCATGGTCTATCATAAGCAGAAGGCCTTTGTTCTGTTCCCTTTTTTTTTTTTTCCTTCTCTTCTCTTTATGCCAATTTCCCCAAAGCTTATATACCCTTATAAAAGTGCCCCAAATCCATTCTGGAACAAGATGGAGCATAAATAAATCAAATTAATATAGATTTTAACAAATGAACAGCACTTACCAACTAGTGTTAGAATGCCTTTAACACACACTCAGTCTGTACCTGAAAACTCCTCGGCAGGAAAATTAGATAATTTTGAGGCACAGAAATCTACTGATGGACAGTTTGTTACAAGGTCTTCTTCAAACCGAACCAAATTCTGCATCACTTCAATGATCCCAGTTCGGTCCTATACCAATAATTACTTTCTCCACAGTAGCCTTCCAATACTTGAAAATAACTGTCTTGCCTCTTAATTCTTTTCCTCTCCGAAGTTCTTTTAACTGTTCCTTACATAACACGGGTTTCCAACTACCTCACCCACCAAATCACCTTTCTCTTGACACACTATTTATAAATAGAGTTTATAAACGGTCCTTTAAAAATGTTTCCAAATTTGAGCAGACCCGTTATGTGTATGCTTTCCAACCTGAACAAAGCCCAAGGGGACTATTCCCTCCTTTGCACTGGATACTATCCAAGACTTCTAATGAGGTTCGGTTTCTCACAGGAGGGTCCCAACCCCTCGGGGGTGTTCCCACCGATTAGCTTTGAATCGAGACCTCCCGTTGAGAGCCAAAGGAGAAAAAGAGAAGGCGGCCACGGTCAGACTAACGGCTCGGTGCAGGGAGCGCACAGAAAAACTGTTATGGAACGTGAAAGAGAGAGATTTCATTTGGTAAAGCCCGGGAGGGAGGAATAGGTTTTCCAGGGAGCCGGCGCCTCCACCTGCTGAGGCTGAGCAGGGACGCAGGGACGGGGGAGGTCCTCCCCACAGCCTTCCCAGGACCGGTCTGGAGGGAGTATCCCCGGAGGCCACAGCTGCTAGGCCCACTTCTGCCTCCCCAGATCTTTTGGCCAAGGCTCCCTCTTCCGTCCGCCGCGCTAACCCGGGACCGTTAGGCTCACCGTGAGTCAGAGCTGCTCCGGGCGCCAAGAGACCGCACCGCGTACCTCAGCACGGCGCAGTCGGAAGTGCGTCAGAGCCCCGCCCCCCGCCCCGCGGAAAGTTGCTGCGGGGATGTAACAGCCCCTCTAGGAATTCGGGAGGTCTTCCCAGCATCTCGGTGTCTCCAGCAAACGGCGGAGCCTGAGGCGAGCTAGGGAAGAGCGGAGTCGCCCCCAACGTGAACAAGCAGGGACTTAGCCCCCTGTTTTTATTAAGGACGATCCGACCAGGTGAAGGCTTCGGCGGTTCTCCCACCCCGCCCCCGACGTCCCGGGACAGGCGGGGAATGAGCTGGACTCGGCGACCTCAGAGCCCGGCTCACCTGTGTACTTCGGGCTCGTCACCTCGTGAGAACTCGGTCCACGTTTATGGACATGAAGCCCCACGCCAGGCCCGTGAAGCCAGAGATTCAGTTAACACTCGCAGACCCGGGTCATGGTGGCATTAATTTGAAGTAGCCGTGCGCTTTTGCGGAAAGCACTTATGTTTATAGTTTTATTATAGAGGAAACTGAGAAATAGCCAAAGGGAAGAGATGCAGGGGGCTGGAGGTGGGGGGCAGAGATTCCACGCCCTCTCTGGGTGCCCCACCCTCCCTGCACCTCCATGTGTTCACCAGCTTGGAGGGTCCCCGAACCCCGTTGCTTAGGATTTTTATATAGGGTTTCATTACATAGGACCGATGCGTTAAATCACTGGCTATTGGTGATTAACTCAACCCCGGGCCCCTTTCTCCTCCCTGGAGGTGGGGGTATGGCTGAAAGTTGTAACCCTCGAATCACGTGGTTGATCCCTCTGGCCACCAACCCCCGTCCTGAAGCTGTCTAGGAGTCACCAAGAGTCAACTTGTCAGCATAAACTCAGGTGTAGTCGAAAGGAGCACATTATGAATAACAAAAGACGCTCTGGTCACTTGGGAAATTCCAAGGGTTTTAGGAGCTCTGTGCCAGGAACTGGGGACAAAGACCAGGTATATATATTTTGTTCTATCACCGACATGAAGTCCTTCCCCGCTGGGGTTGATGCTACAGGGGGTGCTGAAGACCCCCTCCTGGGGCCTTAGGTCGGAGGCAGGGGAAGCCTGGGGTTTGGCAATGACATGTCATGGTGCTGTAACGTGAGGGTCTGCTCCCACGTGATCCACCACGGGGGGCTCTGGCCATGCCATCTGCTGAGCGATGGCAGAGATTTGAATAGAGTGGCTGATGTCATGTAAAGATCGTGCCTTTACTGTGTGGGTGGACCCGTGCAATCGCAGGATGGCATTGGTGCCAATCAACAGTACACTGTGTGTGCTGAGGAGACGGAGCAGCGTGGTCCCAGTACGTGTGGACCATGCAGAGAGGGTCGTGTTTGTCTCGCCGCAGGAAAGTGCCCCCCAGGAGAGCTTGGAGCAGGTGTGATGAGGACAGCTCTTTCCTCGGCCAACTGTTCCCCCTCATATCACATTTATGAAGTGCCCACATGCTCTTGGAGCCCATAAACACTGGAATCTATGGCTCAAAGCCTCACTCCTTCCAGCTGGAGTATTGCGGGGGCCCCCGGGGGACCCTCTGGCTCTGCGGAGGGAGTGCATTTGGCTCTGGGTCCTGGGTTCCCACAAGAACCTTCTAAACATTCTTTGTTGGCCAAGCATTGCCTGTATTTCCTGATGTGGGGTTGGAAAGTTCCAGAATCCATGTGCCTTGCTCTGCCTTTGAACAGTTATTTTATAACCTGGGCCTCTTGTTCAGCACATCTCTTACTGGTCTGGAGTTTTCTTCTTTTTCTCACAACTGCCTGTGTGTTTATCTTCCCAACTAGTCCACAAGCTGTCTGAGGGTTGGATCTTTCTCTGCTGCTTCTTGGTTTGTGAGGAACCCACCCAGAGAGAAAGAGAGAAAAAAAAACTGGGCTTGGAGCCTCCAGACCTACAGTCAAATCTGACCCCACCACCACCTAGCTATGAAATTTTGGACAAGCTGTCTGATTTCGCAGAGCCTCACTTTCTGCATCAATGAAATGGGAAAAATAATGCTTACCCGGTGATAGTGTTAGGAGATGTAGAGGTTCAGGGAAGTACCAGTCCAGTGCCCAGCACCTGGTGGGCACCTGGGAAATGGGTCTGGTGCCTGGCATGTGCTTCCTCAGAGCCGGCAAATCCTGTAACCTACAGCGTTATCTCCTTTTACCTTCCCAGTAGCCCTGAGGATCAGGCAGGCATCACTGTGCTCCCATTTTACAGATGGGGAAGATGGAGTCAGGTGGTTAGTGATTGGGTGAAGGTCTAAATGATTGATCTTAGACCAGAAACCAGGGCTGTCCCTTCTAGGGCACTGCACTAGCTGAGGAGGAAATGAATGAGTGAACTATTAAAATAGAGGTTGGCACTAGGAACTCAGGGTTTGAGAAGGCCTGGGCATGATGGTGGGTGGGAGAAGAGATTTATTTTCTCACCCACTGCTAGGTTCACAGCTGAGGCCCCTGAAACAAAAGATGGATTAACAAGAGAAAAGCACACAAATTTATTTAATANTGCTCTTGGAGCCCATAAACACTGGAATCTATGGCTCAAAGCCTCACTCCTTCCAGCTGGACTGTTGCGGGGGCCCCCGGGGACCCTCTGGCTCTCTGGAGGGAGTGCATTTGGCTCTGGGTCCTGGGTTCCCACAAGAACCTCCTAAAATGATCTTTATGGCCAAGCACTGCCTGCATTTCCTGACGTGGGGTTGGAATGTTCCAGAATCCGTGTGCCTTGCTCTGCCTTTGAACAGTTATTTATAACCTGGGACTCTCGTTCAGCACATCTCTTACTGGCCTGGAGTTTTCTTCTTTTTCTTACAACTGCCTGTGTGTTTATCTTCCCAACTAGTTTACAAGTTGCCTGAGGGTTGGATCTTTTTCTGCTGCTTTTTGGTCTGCAATGAACCTACCCAGAGAGAGAGAAAAACAAACAAACAAACAAAATAAAACTGGGCTTGGAGCCTCCAGACCTACAGTCAAATCTGGCCCTGTCACCTCCTAGCTATGAAATTTTGGACAAGCTGTCTGATTTCACAGAGCCTCACTTTCTGCATCAATGAAATGGGAAAAATAGTACTTACCCGGTGATAGTGTTAGGAGATGTAGAGGTTCAGGGAAGTACCAGTCCAGTGCCCA